GAAGTCCATAGACTGAAAGTGAAAGGATGGAAAACAATTCTCCATGCATCAGGAGTCCAGAAAAAAGCAGGGGTAGCAATCTTATTCTCAGATAAAGTAAATTTCAAACCAAAACTCATTAAGAGAGACAAAGAAGGACACTACATCCTTGTAAAGGGAACAATTCAAGAGGAAGAGCTGACAATCATAAACATATATGCACCAAATATAAATGCCCCCAACTATATAAAACAAATATTAAGTAACATGAAAAACCAAATAAGCACTAATACAATTGTAGTGGGGGATTTAAATACCCCACTATCACAAATTGACAGATCTACTAGGCAGAAAATCAACAATGAAATAATAGAACTGAACCAAGCTTTGGAACACATGGACTTAATAGATGTTTATAGAGTATTCCACCCCCAAAAACCAGAATATACATTCTTTTCGGCTGCACATGGATCATTCTCCAAAATAGACCACATACTGGCTCACAAAACAGGTCTAAATAAATGCAAAAAAATTGAAGTCATCCCCTGTTTATTATCAGATCATAGTGCAATCAAACTAGACATCAATAGCACAAGAAACTATAGAAACTTCACAAGCACATGGAAACTGAACAACACTCTCCTAAACAATCAATGGATTACAGAGGAAATTAAAGAAGAAATTAGACAGTTTTTACAAATAAATGAGAATGCCAATACAACATACAGGAATCTTTGGGACACAATGAAAGCAGTTCTACGTGGAAAATTCATAACATTGAATGCCCACACTAGGAAAACAGAGCGGGCTCAAATAAACAACTTAACGATGAAACTTAGACTCCTAGAAAAACAAGAGCAAGAAAAACCCAAAGCTCGAACAAGAGAGGAAATTATAAAGATCCGAGCAGAAATCAATGCAATTGAAATTAAGAAAACGATACAAAAAATAAATGAAACAAAGAGCTGGTTTTTTGAAAGAATAAATAAAATTGACAAACCCTTAGCTAATCTTATCAAAAAAAGGAAAGAAAAGGCTCAGATCCATGCAATTAGGAATGAAAAAGGCGAAGTCACAACAGATCCGAAAGAAATCCAGAGGATCATGAACACCTACTTTGAGAACCTGTACTCTAATAAAATGGAAAACACAGAAGAAATGGACAGATTTCTAGATACTTATGAATTACCAAAGTTGAACGAAGAAGATAAAAACATTTTAAACACCCCAATCACAATCAGTGAAATTGAAAATGTAATTAAAAACTTACCAACAAAGAAAAGCCCAGGCCCTGATGGATTCACTGCTGAATTTTACAAGACATTTAGAGAAGAACTACTACCATTACTCTTCAAACTTTTCAATGAAATTGAAAGAGAAGCTATACTTCCAAATTCATTCCTGGAAGCAAGTATCACTCTGATTCCCAAACCAGAGAAAGATACAACCAAAAAGGAGAACTACAGACCAATCTCCTTAATGAATATAGATGCAAAAATCCTTAATAAGATACTAGCAAACAGAATACAGAGGATTATTAAGAAGATCATCCATCATGACCAAGTCGGATTTATTCCAGAGATGCAAGGGTGGTTCAACATACGAAAGTCAGTGAATGTAATACATTATATTAACAAAGTCAAGGACAAAAACCATATGATCCTCTCAATAGATGCAGAAAAAGCATTTGATAAAATTCAACACCCATTCATGATAAAAACCCTGCAAAAAATTGGAATAGATGGTCTATACCTCAATTTAATAAAGGCTATTTATGAAAAACCATCAGCCAACATCATATTGAATGGCCAAAAACTGAAAACCTTCATGTTAAAATCAGGAACAAGACAAGGATGCCCACTATCGCCACTTCTCTTCAATATAGTTCTGGAAACATTAGCCACAGCAATTAGACAAGAGAAAGAAATTAAAGCAATAAAGATAGGAAAGGAAGAAGTTAAACTATCATTATTTGCTGATGATATGATACTCTACATTGAAGATCCAAAAAACTCCACCAAAAAACTTCTAGACTTAATTGACAGATTCAGTAAAGTATCTGGATACAAGGTGAATACCCAAAAATCAATAGCCTTTCTATACACAAATAACAGACAGACAGAAAGAGAAATAAGGGAAAAAATTCCTTTTACAATAGCATCCAAAAAAATGAAGTATCTAGGAATCAATCTAACAAAAGAAACAAAAGATCTCTACACTGAAAACTACAGCACTCTGAAAAAAGAAATCGAAGAGGATATAAAAAAATGGAAAGATATCCCCTGCTCCTGGGTAGGAAGAATCAACATAGTGAAAATGGCCATACTACCGAAACTGCTATATACATTCAATGCAATGCCAATTGAAATTCCAACACTATATTTCACAGAACTAGAAAAAAGAATCCAAAAATTCATTTGGAACCACAAGAGACCTAGAATAGCAAAAGCCATTATAGGCAACAGTCACATGGCACCAGGTGTAACAATTCCCAATTTGAAACTATACTACAAAGCCACTGTGATAAAATCAGCATGGTACTGGCAAAGAAATAGGCCTGAGGATCAATGGAACAGACTGGAAGACACAAAAACAAATGCAGATGTACTCAGCTACCTCATCTTCGACAAAGGAGCTCACCATCCTCAGTGGAGGAAAGATAGCCTCTTTAATAAATGGTGTTGGAAAAACTGGATATCAACCTGTCACAGATTAAAATTAGACCCTTATCTTTCGCCATGCACTAAATTAAAATCCAAATGGATTAAAGATCTAAATATTAAAACAGAAACATTAAACTTGCTGGAAAGTAAGTTAGGCAGAACTCTGGAAGACATTGGTATAGGAAAAGACTTTATGAACAAATCCTCAGTAGCACGGGAACTAGCAGAAAGAATCAACAACTGGGATCTCATCTTACTAAAAAGCTTCTGTACTTCAAAAGAAACCATTAGCAGAACTAAGAGACAATCTACAATGTGGGAAAAAATTTTTACCAGCTGTACCTCAGACAAAGGACTATTATCAAGGATATATAAAGAACTCAAAACAATCAGTCCCCCCAAATATAAAGACCCGATCCAAAAATGGGCATCCGAAATGAACAGACATTTCTCATACAAAGAAGTGAAAGCAGCAAGAAAATATATGAAAAAATGTTCCACATCACTGGTCATTCGAGAGATGCAGATGAAAACAACACTGAGATTCCACCTCACCCCACAAAGAATGGCTGCTATCAAGAAATCACACAATAACAAATGTTGGCGGGGTTGTGGGGAGAAAGGAACCCTCCTCCATTGTTGGTGGGAGTGCAGACTAGTGCAACCACTATGGAAATCAATATGGAGATACCTCAAAGAGCTTGGACTGGAGGTTCCATTTGACCCAGCCATCCCTCTGTTGGGTATCTTTCCAAGAGAACTAAAAGAATCATATCACAGAGAAGTATGTGCACCCATGTTTATAGCGGCACAGTTTGTAATAGCTAAATCTTGGAAACAACCTATTTGCCCATCCGTTGGAAACTGGATAAAGAAGATGTGGTTTTTCTATAAAATGGAATATTACTCAGCCATAAAGAGCGAGAGAATAGATTCATTCATAGGAAAATGGATACATATTGAAGATATACTCCTAAGTGAAATAAATAAGTCCCACATGTGTAAATACCAAATAGTTTCCCTGGTGTGAATATTCTGCAACAATGCATAAGATTCTAATAAGATTACTGACATTTAGAAATGGGAGGAAAGGAGCTAAAGGTGTAGGGAAGGTGTGATACGTAGGGGAAGAACAAAAAGGGAAAAGAAAAAAATGTGAGAGAATGAAAAGATGAAAATAAAGTGTTTGTAGATGGGGAGGGGAGGAGGGGGTGAAGGGAGGGCAGAGGTAAGGGGAAAAAAATGAGAATCAAGACTTGCCATGTAAAGGTACATGATCCCAACAATGAATGTAACTGTACTGTATCCCTAAATGTACCAATAAACTCAATAAAAAAAAAGAATATTTGGCTTCTAAAATAAAAAGTAAATTAAATCCAGGCCAGGGATTTAGCTCAGCGGTTCAGTGGCCTGCCTTGCAAGTGCAAGGACCCAAGTTCAATCCCCAGTACAAAGAAAAAAAAAAAAAGTAAATTAAATCCAAGTTGAGTGGATTTGAATAGTAAGTGCATCCTTGAACACACAAATGTTTCTGACATAAAATTGTTCATTGTTTTTTAAAATATATATTGCTAAAACATAAAATAAAAAGTTGTCAAGTTCTATACCCAATAGTATTATCTTCTATCAGTATGAATAAATGTCAAGACATGTCTATAATTTCTATGTACTTACAAACGCTGCTGTAGAACCATTAGCCATGTTTTGCAGTGGCTTTCTCAAAGAAGACTATAGTGTCTGAATGATACTAATGAAAAACACAGGTCAGAGAATATACCACATTTCATTAAATGGTGCATCATTCAAGATCCCAATCAAATACCATCTCTCTCAAAGCCTTTTTTTAATTCCCTCTTCCCTACCCAGCTGTCCTTTCACTTTTTCTCTCTCTATTCTTTCAATACCCACTGCAATTTATTTTTACATCTCTTGTGGTTATCATCATCTTTTCATAAGTTATTATAATTGTTTGAATGAATGCCTTCTTTTCTATAATATTTTGCTCATAGAATAAAAAGACTCATATATTTTTCATTCTTCATTTTAAGTATCAGAATATTTTACTGATATGTGTTACTCATGAAACATTTTGGTACTTTATTATCTTTAATGTTAGACCTTTATGTTACATACCTTCTGGGGAGGTACTGGGAATAGAACTCAGGTCCTTGAGCTTTCGAGGCAGGTGGTGGAACCACTGAGCTAAATCCAGAGTCCATACCATTTATTTTTAATAGGTTTTAATGTTTTTCTTTGCTTTTCAAAAATAAGCTACAAGCTCTTTTGAGGCCTATTACAATCTTCTAATACGTTTATTCTCCCAGAATTCTTGACACAAAATATGCTAAAAGGAAGTGTTCAATTGATTAAAGGTTACCAAAGGCTCATCTAATAAACATTTTTCAGAACATAATAATAGCCATCTCCATTCTCCTAAAGGAATCAGATCCCATGAATTTGCTTACCATGGCATTGACCTTTGCATGGTCTCCTTTCCTATTCTGAATCTGAATACAGGAGATTGGCAAACTCAGTCCTACATCAGTGGCCAGATTTCTTAGGACAGCACCAACACAACAGCAAACTGTTATTATCAGAGCCAAGTCGCAGAGCAGCTCTCTAGAAATATGTCTGAGAAAGTGTCTCAACTGTAGTGACATCTATTTTGGCTGATTTCATGCAAGGATTAGAAGCTACCTGCCTTCCATGCCACAGATCCTCTGGAGTGTGACAGCAGCTCTGAAAGCAAGAATTGGGCTTTGGCTCAACTTGGTACACATGAAGAAAAGTCTAAGCACCCCAGCAACAAAAAAGAAATGCAGGCCAGGGCGATTACTAAGTACAAGTTCTGAGCAGTAAGCTGCCCTCCTGGTTCCCAAATAACTTCAAAGTCTGGAAGGACCTGTGGTGTAAAATTACTCAATAGCACACCGAGAATAGAGGAGGCAAGCGGTGGGTCTCCATGGTCCCAAACCACTATCATCACCCTCTGTTTAACTGCATCAGTAGGAAGAACCAAGTGTGCTCTATGGAGCTCTCCCATATTGGCCAAAATTCTGAAAAGGCTAGAGTCAGAAGCCTGAGAGATGTCGTAGGAGAGCCAGGCATTGGAACCACTGTCTGCATCCTCTGCTACCACTGCTGTGAACAAGTGTCCAGTTCTGGCAGAGTGGGGCTCAATTTCCACAGAGATTGAGCCATTTCTGGGCAAGGGAAACAAGATAACTGGAGCACTGCTGTTCCTGTCGATTACAAACAAGTTCACAGTCACTGTTGTACTTTAGAAGGAATGCCACCATCCCATCCTTCCACTTGGAAACTAAATCCCCTGAATTGCTCAAAGTCAAAGGAAGCTTTGGCAGTGATAGCACCACTGGATGGTTCCACTACCACCAAGCTAGTGGCTAGCATCCCTTCAGAGATAATGTCCAACAGCTCATAAAAGACAAGGCTATTCTTCCTCAAGTCCAGGTCCTGGGCAGACACCTGGCCTGGTGAGACCCCAGGGCCATTTTTTTCAGCCACAAAAAGTTCCTGTTGCAGTTAAGGAAATTTTGGTGCATTGTCATTTACATCAGCAACTGACGCAGTGAGGGTCCTTTGGGTGCTGAGTTGAGGTGAGCCACCATCTGAGGTGAAAACCAGGACCTGGTATTCATTCATCTGCTCCTGGTCCAGGGGCCCATCAGTCAGCAAGCTATAGTAGTTGTCAAAAGAAGCCTTCAGCTGAAAAGGACCTCAGCTAGACAATACTACAAATGACTCTACCATTGGAACCATGGACCTCATCCTTTACACTAAGTAGAGCAATCACTGTGCCAGGGGCAGCGTCCTCAGGTACTGGGCTGGAAAGAGTCATTAAATACACTTCGGGGGCATGATCATTCGTGTCAGTCACTTCCACCAACAGTTTGGCAGTGCTCACTAGACCAAAGGCACCTTTGGCCCTCGCCTCCATGTATGCCTCCAACAGCACTTCAGGGGCACCGAAGAAAGCAGCTACCAGCACCTCTCCACTCTTTTGGGGTGCCTGCGAAAGATGTGTCTCAGCTCTGCTCTCCTGCGATTGCTTAAGGAGTACCAGACTTCTCCATTGGAGCCTTCATCTGGATCCAAGGCCTGAACTTGGAAAAACACAGTCCCATTGGGAACAGTCTCTGGAACCGTGGTGCAGAACACGGAGCGCTCAAACACTGGTGCGTTGCCATCGGTGTCCACCACGATGGTGGTGACTTGTGCGTGTCCGGAGAGCGCAGGCAACTCACTCTCCAGAGCTGTGAGCACCGGCAGATGAGTGGCGCGCTGCTCTCGATCTAGCGCTGTCTCCATCACTGACTCCAACACTGACTCCGGATATTCGCTGTCCTCGACCCGTGACCCCATGTCTAGGCGAAAGTGCTGGGTAGGGCTTAGGCTATAGCTCAGCATCCCGTTGCTTCCCTCGCCTGCATCTTGGGCATTCTGAAGAGTACAGCGGGCTCCAAGTGTCAGAACTCAGGGATGAGCAGCTGCACGTCGCTGGCAGGGAAGAGGTGAGTTGTCACTCGTGTCCAGGACGTGGACACGTATCTTGCGCAGCTCCAATGGGTCTTCGAATATTAGCTCATAGGTCAAGACTCAGGCAGCTTTGGTCCCGCAGTTGCTTGCGGTCCCCCGGCTCTCGGACCGCCAAGCTACCGCTGCTTAGGTCCACTTCGAAGTAGGACTCACTGTAGCCGGAAAGGAAGCGAAAGTTTCGCAAGGAGAGAGCAGCCGCTGGCCGGTTCAAGTCCACGGTGACAATGGCTACCGCTTCGCCCCGCTCAGTCTCCTCGGACACCAAGTGCGCCAGCTGTACCGCGGCAGGGCCGCGGGAGACCCAAAGACACAGAACTGCCACCCTCCAGCTCACCATCCTCCCTTTCGGGGTCCATGCTCCGCCAGCGATGACCTGGAACCATGCTCCGGACTCCCGGAGAACACGAGCCGCTGGGAAGAGCGAGCTCTGCGGGCTGTGCGACCGCGGAATGCTGAGTTTGTCTCCCAGATGTGGGAACCTCTGGGGGCAGGAGGGTCAGGAGCGGGGCGTGCGAGAGGCTTGGCCACCTCGGAGCGGAGGGGCAGCGCCGCCTAGGGGTGCAGAGCCGAGGTTAAAAAAAGGCCCGGCTGGAAAGCGCCGTCTGCAGTCTGGGCTGCGGGAACTTCGCCCCCAGACTGGGCGAGGACCAGGAAGACGCTCGCGCCCGAGAAACTAATGCGCCTCTCGCTAAACCACGTTTCCTGGGATCGCCCGAGTCTCAGGCTCCACCACCCTTTATGAAGACTGCTGGGAATGGGGCTAAGCCGACTGGGCCCCTCCCGCTAGCTGTTAGCCAAGGGTTGCGTCGAGTCCCACGGGATTGTACACGCTGACCCCTGCATTGCCCGGCTGGCTGGCCGAACTCCGCGCAGAACCGCAGGGCGGAGACTACGAAGGCGGATCTTTGAACGTGACCGACCACGCCTTATATGCACACCCCCAACTAAGCGCGTTCCCTGCTGCTTTAAGGGGCACGGGGGAGGTGGGGTCTACCCGCTTCAAAGTTCCTGCAGACTCTGGCTTTTTGAGGCAGAAGAACCAGCGAACTCAAGGCTTATGATTCGGCGCTCCTCTTTTCTGTGGGGCCGTAGTTTCTTCTTCACCCAAGGGGCAGTACTGGGAGTGTTCAGCAAGCAGCTCTAGACTCTCTGGGTCGAAGAGATCATAAACCAGTCATTTCTGAGAACCAGAAACTCAAAGAGGGCAACTTATCTCCAAAGAGCAAGTGCCAAGATATGCAGGGAAAACAAACTATTTTTCCTGTAAATTCATTCCTGCAAATACTTAGCAAAAAAAAAAAAAAAAAATGTAACCAGCAAGGTAAATGTTCATACTCTCTCCAAATTCGTTTTTAATCCTGTCTTAAGCACTGAAATTATGATAGATTCGTTTTATGAGAAAAATCTCTGCACCACAATAAACACCTCCAAATTCCTCCTAATACCCTGCACAGAGTCGCTTTGCAAGAGATGTGCTGAAAAGACTGGTTTAATTAAACACTAAATTCTGCTCTCAAATCTTTCCTTTAATTCAGTTCAAAGCCCTTTTATTTAAACTAGGTGATACATGTAGGTTAATTATACATGTCTCTCAACTTTTCTGTATGCTTGAAATATTTACTGTATTTATCTGGTCCTGGGGATTGAACCCAGGGCTTCATACTGAGCTACATTCCTAGCCTTTTTTTATTTTCTCATTTGAGACAATCTCACAAAGTTGTCCAGCTGGCCTCAAATTTAATACCTTGCCTCAGCTCCCAAATAGTTGGGATTACAGGCAGGTGCCACTGCACCCAGCATGTCTGAATCTTTCTATAGTATTTTTGAATTGCTGAAAAAAATAGTGGAGAGTAGAACAGCCCCAACGTTCTCCAAAGTGGAACTGGCAAACCCAGTGTTCAGTGAAAAGCAGTTACTCCCCCTGAGTTTCACAAACCTATTATTTCTTCCAAGGAACTGGAAAGCCAGGATGCAACACAAGGTAATGTAAATAGTAAATAGGGTCTAACTAGTTTGCTTTAGTGATTAAGGAACCAAGTCTGGAGCAAAATCCTAGCAGGAAACATGTACCATTAGGTAGTTACAAAAGTACACATCTTTAGGAGATTTTACTAGGATATGAAGTTGCTCATAAAAAGTGAATTTGTTCCTCGCTAAATTTCAAAACCAAAATGAATTATTTGCTTCAATGCCAGAGATTGGGATCTGCACTTCTTTGTTTTAATTTAATACTGCTAGCCAAGCTATCTGCTTTGGGATGAAAGGTTGTTTTTTCCACTTTTCCATTCGCAGCATATGAAATACACCTGGCAAGATGTACAAACTTTTGGAAGGCATCTTAATCTAAGACGTGCAGTCAAGCCTCTAATTGTGTACCAGGTTTAGTAAAGCTGAGCGGTTTCTAGGAGGGCAGTATATGTGAGCATAGCTTACAGAGTGAGGAAAAGAGAAAACTCAAACAGAGAATCAGCATGGAAAATCTTCGCAAAAACTCCCCTCTTCACAAACCTGTCGATTTGGGGCTTTCCTTTTTCCCATTTCTCCATTTCAACTGCCATTGGTGTCTGTTTTCAAAAGGTTTCATTTATGTCAAGAATAAATGGGATCTATTTTATCTTATGCCTCCCTAACTCTAGGTATAACACTACATTCTTATTCAAATAAATTTGTATTTGCACAAAATTAATATTTAAAAGAAAAGATATCCCAACATGAAGAAGGCTAAAGATTTTTTTCTTTTGATAAAATGACCACGTAAATATTAAAATCCTGAATTAACAAAATTTCTCTTCATCAGAGCTTATCATTAGTAAACAGTTCAGTTTGTCATTTTATGGAATTTTCCACAATTTCTCCTAATTCAGGAGATTTCCAAACTTTTGCTTACACACAAGTATAACTTTAAGTGGAAAGTATGCAAAAAACATAATTCTAACTTCTGCTTGGGATCTATTGCCAAGCTACTCTCATAAAGTCCTTTCATTAAACTTATCCTCCAGTTGTAAATTCAAAATTTCTAGCCATATTGCATACACCTTTATTAAAAATCTTGAAGCCAAATAGGAAAATAGTAAATCTGATAACCAACAAAGAGCCTGTCAGCAAAAGAATAGTGTAGTTTAAACAAGATTTTCTTCATGGCTAAGATTATACCATGGGGGTATATTAAGTACTATGAAAATTAAATTAACAGGGTATTAACATCACATCAAGCAACTTTTAATCCTGTAAAATAGCTTAACTATGTGCCCAGATCAAGTCTAACAGAGTGAGAGTTCCTCAGGGGATAGCGATGCTTATCATTAGATTTTTGTCTCTCAAGCATCGAGCATCCTGTTTTGTCACTTTTTTCTTAAACCCTTTATCAATAATAAATTACTACAGAATATCTTTGTCAAATTTCTACCAACAAGGAACTAGTTTTTCTCCATGACATACCTTCTAAAGCATCTTGAACCTTTCTTCATAAATCTACACTTTAATTCTATGCTGTATTTACTTATTGCTTTTTATAATCATGTGCCAATTTCTCAAAAACTACCTTTCTACAAAAATCTTTGTTCTATTCTATCTTTAAGTATGACCCTCAGAACTTAAAGACATACTCCAGTGTAGTAAATCAGCTCCAAAAGGAGACCTATATCTTCCACTCTAAATATTATGCATGTAGGAATAGGGTCCAAAATTGAGTCTGACACTCAGAGAGAAAAAAACAAAGTCCCACTTCCTACTGCTGGTCTTGATCTGCCACTGACTGAAAATAACTTATATTTACACCAGTAGAAGTTGAGTTCTGAAGTTTATCTCAATTTTTCAGGAATTATGCCTTTGTACTTTACCTTTTCCATTTTTGTTTATTGGTCTCTTTGAGGACGTTTATTAGAAATATATTGGATCCCTTTTTCTATTTTAGTGTGTGTGTGTGTGTGTGTGTGTGTGTGTGTGTTTTAAAGCTGTACTTTTCTAATTCCATTAAATTCTTTACTATTTCAAAAATTTTTTTCTCAACCTTCTCAATTATTTGTTCTTGTTCTTGAGTATATACTAGGTAGAGCCTATTTATGTTCTTATTGCTTTCAGTGTGGCCTTAGTTTCTGAGATAATTTTATATTCTCTTCCATTTATTTCATGAATTGTGCCAGCTCACATTTCATAACCTTTTGTGGCCCTCTCATTTTATCCTTGAAACTTTGGAATGCTGTTTTAAATTTTTGGTTTTCTGAGACTATTTAAAATTAAATTTGGGGAAAAGAATGGGAGAAAATATTTGCAAACCATACATTTATTTGATAGGTTAATATCCAACTTGATAGAAAGAAAACAAATTTTAAAATGGACAAAGGGATGGTGGGAAAATTAATTGATTGTATCAACTTGATACTAAATTGGATCAGCATAGTTCTGGGTGTGGAAAACCCTCCCTAGAGAGGACTGTCTCCATAATGGTGTAAAAGAGAAACAAAGAAAGGCTCACTTCTGTTTCTTTGGAATAGCTTCAGTCTTCACCTTCACCTAGAACATTTTCTCCTGTCTTCCAGCATGGACCCTTCTGCTTTCCATCACAGGAGCCTCCAGCCTCCTCATACAGACTCCACAGGACAGTACAGTGCACTCCAGAACTGTGACTGGATCTTTTAAGTCTTCAGCACACAGACAAACCTTCTGCACTCTTCCACATCTGACTCTGTGGGTGGCCATTATAAGCCAATTTGGTAAATTTTTATATATTTGCATGTCTTGCTTTAAATTTGTTTCTTCAGTAAGCACTGACTGATACAGATGGGGATATAGCTTGGGGCAGAGCAACACCCTGTGTTAGATCCTCAGCACCATAATAAAGCAAAAAGAGAGAGAGGAGGAGGGCAGAAGAGGGGAATAGGTGGGAAGGAGGGAGTAAAAGAGGGTAAAAAAATAAAAAGGGTAAAAGATCTTCTCAAAAGAAGACATACAAATGGTCAACGGGACTATGAAAAATGCTCAAAATCACTGATCATCAGAAAACTACAAATTAAAGCCTCAACAATATATCATCTCACATCAATTACAATGGTTATTGTAGAAAAGATGAAGGATAAAAAGTATTAGTGGAGCTGTGGAAAAATGGGAACCCTTGCACACATTAGTAGGAATGAAAATCAGTACAGCCATTATAGAAACTAGTATGAAGTTTCCTCTCATAGTTAAATTAGAACCCCCACATGATCCAGCAAACCCACTACTGGGTATAGATCCAAAGGAAATAATATCAGTACATTAAAGAAACATCTGCTTTTCCACATTCACTGCAGAATTTTTCAAAACAGCTTAGACAGTAGAATCAATATACTTCACAATATATATGACTGATATATATATATAATTTTATTTGTTATATTTTAAATATATATTAAGATATATTTATATTATTAAGTTACATTTAAAATATAACAAAGCTTTGTGACTCAACTAGAAACCTCTAGTCAGTTTCATTTATTTGGTAGTAAAAGTCATCAGGTATGTATTGTCATCTGTAATTTGTCTTAAGCATTTTTTTCTTGCAGTAGTAGTAGAGATTTCTGTTGGCTTTTTTGACTATTGCAGGCAAAAGATATAAGTAGATGGGCCACTGCATTGGGTCAAGGTAAACTTTCCATATTTCTCTATTTCTACTATTCAATAGAGTGGTTTGCATATACTATAGCTTTTATGAACTCTCAACTGCTAAGAACTGACAGATGTAGGATAATTTCTCATGTTTTCTTTTCTTTCACCTTGCCATACCCTTCTGTCTAATCTTAAACTAATGGTGCATCGGCTTACTATCGCATTCAGTTCTTTCCTGCTTTCTCATTGGATTATAAA